ATCTAAATATATTTAGATATTATAAAAACGGAACAATAGTAGTGATATAATGATGATGATAATATTTTTTATCTAGATTATCATTTGTAAATGTTATTATTATTATCATTATTATTTAACTAATGTGTTTTTACAGGGTGTTTTTGGTCAGGAAAAAATCAAATAAAATCAGTAAATACCTGATACTAATTTGATCAATGAATGTTCTTTCATTCCAATTATATTTGACCACAGTAACAACAATAAACAATCGTAATGATGAATAGAAAGATAACCACAAAAATAATCTAAGAATAAGAAAAAAAAGAGTTTAATGACCGTGCTAGAAATATGAAAACAAACAAACAAACAAATTTGTTGAGCAAAATAGCCGAAAAGCAAATCTGACAATATTAATTATCAAGAAAGACAATTGACCAAACCAAGCAACAGGTATCACCGTTGTTTTTCATTCAGAATTTATCAATCTTTTTCATTCATTCATTCATTTATCACACAAACAGCAAAAACAAAAAACCAAAACATAAATGGAAAATTTTTTGTTTTTGAAATTTATCCATGAATTAAATGATTGACGATGATGACGACGACGACACGATGAAACGCGGATCTTATTTGTAATGATGGTCACGATTATGGACCCTTCTCTTTTTCTGTTGTTGTTGTTGTTGTAATGCGCGTTATTTATTGACCTTTGCCACTCTGTACAAGCACTAAATATATTTTTTTGACAAGTTTTTCGTAGGTTTGAAACAAAACATGAAACATTCAATCATCAACAACATCAGTGAAAACTTCAGGTAAATCACCATAAAAAAACGTAACCGATTCTCTTTGAAAATGGGAAATAAAATTTCATTTAAAATAATGGTGACAAACAATCTTTCTTTCATTGAGGGAAAGGTAAAATTTCATTCGATAAATTCGTTATGTTTTGATCGATTGATGTAAAGTAAGGTTGTTGTACTGAACTTTAACAAAGTACATGAACCAGGATCTAGGAAAAAAAAATCTATAAGGCGCCCGTATTCGTTTAGTAGTTAATAGCCATGTGTAATCATCAAATCATAGTTGCGCAACAAATAAACTCGCTCAATTTACTTCGCTAATTATCTGGCTACCACGAAAATAGAATACAACAGAATATAATAAACTCTATTACCTGATGAACAACAAAAAATATACCATGGATCATCGTTTTCCGAAATTTAAATGAAAGAAAAAATTTCCCCTCAAAAAAACAATCTCTATATTTGCAGCAATTTATCCAATTTTCGAGGAAAAAAAATTCAATTTGAATTTTCAATTCAAACAAACATTGTTTGCTTGAGAATTTATTGTAATTTGATTTGATTGTTCCCGTCATCATCATCATTGACATCATTTGATAAACAAACATTGAACAAAAAACGATCAATCGGCACGATTGTGAAAAAAAAATTGATTTGATTCGATTGTTATTAAGTTATTATTATCATTCGATTATGTCAATCAAAAAAATCAACAACAAAAACAACATTGCACACACTGGGTACATATTCTTCTTTCCACAATTCAACCATGACGATAATGATGATGTTTTTTTTCCATAAAGATTTCCAATTCAAAAAAAAAAATTTACCCATTTTACCGAATAATAACAAATCATCATCATCATTATCGGATAATCATTATCGGATGCTAACAATAACAACAACAACAACAACAACAAACTAAATCATTTTCATGTCATTTCTTGTGTGTATTGAATTTTGCCATTGCTTTGTTTACATTAAATGATTTACCGCTTGTTTGAATGTCTTTGTGTTTGTGTGTTTTACCGCCAAGTTTTATTATTATTATTTAACACCTAATCATCCTATTTGATGAAAATTGATCAATAATAACGGTTATTACATAAAAAAACGTTTGCCAAAAATTAGTTTTTGTTTGAATCGGATGAAAAAAATACCAAACATTTTTTTTTTGCTTGGCCAAAGAAAAAAAAATATAACGGCAATTCGAATTATCTTGTTTGGTGGTCTTTGTTTATGATTGTCGTCGTTTTGATCAAATTATCATCTGCTTTTCTTTTCATTTGATTCTGTACAATATTGGCTATGAAAATTGCCAAATCAAACATGTGTGGTCATTTTAGTGATTGAAGATGATGAAAAATGAACAAAAGTCATTCACAATATGACATTGTTTAGAAAAACTTTTTTTTTAGCAAAAACTTTCAGAAAGATTTTTTATTTCCAAAAAAGTTTCCGAAGGCAAATTTTTTCAAACAAGAAAAAAATTAATTAAAAAAAAGATGAGTCAGATTTGAAACTAATAAATCAACAACAGCAAAACTCTATGTTTTTTTACAAAGTTTACTGCTAAAGTTTAATTAGAAAAACAAAAATCAAAATCCACCTCTCTCTGTGGAATAAATTTTCCCCTACTTGTTCATCTTGATCATCAAATGGGCCAAAGATAGATTACATAAAACAAAATAAATCTGGGTCCAAATATTGCTTCAAGCACCGTATGCATCTTCGATCAATCCATACGGGAAAACAAAAACAACAACAGCCATCATCGGCATCACCATTGCCAAATTAGTTTGTTTTTTTCCTACCATCATCGACAAGGGCATCATCGATTTATGAAATCCATACCTGAATGACTAATTATCATCATCATCATCTGGACTTTTTGGCAAAAACAAAAATTCAGTGGTTGATTGGCACACGCATATTGCAAACATGCAAAATAAGACCATTTTTTTCTTTGAATATTGTCATGATGATGAGAAATCATTAAATTATTAAAATATTCCAAGGGACCACAGAACGAAAAAAAATGTAAGCGAAGGAAAAAAGCCTTCAAGCCACACTGTTGTTTCATTTAAGCGAGGACCAGATTCCAGAAAAAAACAAATTAAGCACGATAATGAACAAAAAAATATGCATGCATACATGCATGATGATGATATAATGGTGGTTCTAATTATTTTTTCGTTCGGTGAATTTGAGTTTCTCTGAAAATGATCCTTCTGGCCGAATTCTTCTTTTCATCTTTCGATTTCATCTTTTAAACAAAATTTATTCAATCATAAACGAATCGAATTAAAAAATTTTCAAAATTTCAAATTTCAGAATTATTCAATGTGTGATTGGCCTCTCTGTGTGATCGAAAACAAGAGCAACATTAAGCATCCAGATGATGATGATGATGGTAATAATTTTTTTAGCATAAATTACCATAAGCACATCATCATCAATGACTGAATAAATAAATAATATTTAGCAGCAGCAAGAAATATGAAAATTGATGCCAAATTTTTTTTGGTTTTTTGGGAAAATTAGCCCTAATTATAAAAAAAATGTAAAGATCATCATCGATAATCGCGTGTGAATTTTTCATTTTTCGTTTCACGCTAAAATCATCATCATCATTATTTTGTTTGTTGCATAAATGTGATGTGCAAAGTTGATTTGCATCCCGAAAATTCATTTTCCCATTACATTTTGGGTATTTTGAAAGAATGTTTTTTTTGAGAAAAAAATGACAAATTAGATTTTTCAAAATTTTTCAAAACAAAAAAATTCCATAACAAAATCAATGATGACCATGATTTTCAATGAAAAACATTATTTTCAATTTGATTAGATAAAACAAAGCATCGCCAAAAAAATCATTATAATGTCGACGATATATATAGCCATCATCATCATTATGATAATAAACAAGGCTAATGAATACGATCAAATGATGTTGGTTGGTTATATGAATAACTAATGATGTTTGCTGATGATTATTAATGCCATTTTGACCATTATCATCAAACATCAAAAACAATTGTTTTTTGATCAACAACGACCTAGATTTTTCAAATGTTTTATTTAAATTATCCTCTGTTTTTTTTCGTTAAAAAATCATTATTATTGTAAAATCAATTTGACAAAAATCAATATCGACATTGAAATGAATGAAAATAAAATTGAAAATTTATTTTATTTTATAAATTATAAAATGTTTTTTTTTGAATTCAAAATACAATTGATTTCGAGATGTAAATGTGGTTTTCAAGAAAATATGGTGAATTTTTTTTCCATTGAAATATGAAAAAGGATGATTGATGAATTGATGAATGATGTAAAAACAAAATGAAAATAATAAAGAAAGAAAACATAATCGATAAAATTCCTCAATGAAAATCATTATGATATAACATCCATAATATTCGACAATATGCCGTACGGATATTTGTTTTTTCTCCCTTAGTTCAGGTTTTCGGGGTTTTTTTCGGGTTTTTCTGCTCCAATGCATTCCCATATAACCATCATTGTAATAGATGAAATGAATCATTACCGATTATTATCATCATTAATTTTTCGATCGATATGATATCGATATATTTATATAAATCGATTTCCTAAATATGTTTTGCTTTGTTTTGGCCAAAATTATTATAAATAAGTCTTATTTGTGTGTGTGTTTGTGTCATTTGTGAATATATAAAACATATTAATGGATTATAATGGAATAGTGAATGAAATGATAAATGTCCAGATAACGATAATGATAATAATAATGATATTTATGAATTGAATGTTTTATAAATAAAGGTTTTATAAAAAGGGTATTTTGTTTTCTCGCTCTCGAAACGTGATCAAAATTGATAATGTTTAGTTTTTCATCATCATCGTGATACAATCATCATTCAAATGAATTGAGAAAAAAATTTGTTCCATAAATAATGTGTGTATGTGTGTGAGTGTTTTGTACAATTCGGTTGTCGTTTATTTTATTTTATTTTATAAATGATAAATGAATAAAGATGTGAAAAATTATTTATAATTTGGTGATATAAAAAGGTATAATTGTATAATGTGTGTGTGATTATTTGGTTTTTGATTTGATTGATTGTTTTTTCCATAAAAAAAAACAGTCCAAATTTTCGTTTCTGTCAGTTTTGCTTTTGGCTGTCATCATTGTCATTGTGACAACAACAACAATGAAACAAAAAAAATTAGTTCATCATCAAAGTCACATCAGGGAAAAATGGCCAATCCAGATGTCCAGTTGATTCAGTTTTTGTTATTCGTTGATTTTCGTTTGTTCCTTGACAAATTTGACAAGTTGTTTGTTCGATTTGACTTTATTTCATCATCATCATCATTATCAGTTGTTGATCAAAAAAAAAACACCAAACGATCGACCGACATATCAGTTGCAACTGTGATATGTTGTTGTTGTTTCTTGTCTAGATAAAGGTTTACAAAAAGAGAAAAAAAGAGAGAAAAAAATTAGAATTTTTTGTTGTTGTTCAGGTAAAACAGTAAGATAAGGTAAGTAAATTAATTTTGTTTCAAAATTTTTTGGGTCAATCAACATTCAAATAGCTGTCATAGATACTTTTTTTGTTTTTCTAAATTCAAATTGAGGATTTTTTGTTTCATTTTTCACTAAATTTTCGATTCAAGTTTATATTGATAATTGGAACAAATTATTTTTCAATTGATTGAAACCAAAAACAACAACAAAAGATGAATTGAAAAGGCGTGTAACGAATTTTCATTGAATTCGGTTGATGTCGCACACACCAATTCAATTCAATTCGGGTCAAAAGTCAAGACAAATTTAAGAAGTGATGGTGGTGGTCGATTTGTTTTCTTTTGGACTTCCAACTGTGTATTCAACTATGGATCAAGTGTGTATGAGAGGGAAAGATATTCTTGAAAAGTTTTTTGTTTTTGAAAATAAATTTTCGAAAATCCTGATGATGACAAGAGAAAGAGAGAGGTTCTCTATCCTTTTTCCCAATTGAAACAAATGTTGAATTTGACAAAAGAAAAATTGCTTTTTTTCTTCTTGTTCTTCTCAATTGCGCGCTTTCTTTTGGTTAATGGTTTCGTTTTCTTCTCATTTCACTCAGGTGATTGTGTGACTGCAACAACAACAACAACAACAATTCACATTTCATCCAAAAATGTTAATCACTTTTGGCCAATTAATTTCAGGTAAAAAAGAAAAAACCACAACATTTTTTTCAATCCGTTTTTTCAAAACTTTTGGTATTTTTCTATTTTTTTGGTTCCTGATTCGACATTTAATTAATTTCAAGAAAACAAAACAAAAAAAAACAGGTAAATCAGGTGATCAAGTGATCAATTATAATATTTAACTCATTTTAAAACAAATCGATAATCAATATGTCAAAAAAGTGAATTTATAATTACAGGTTTAACACTTTTGTTGTCGTTGTTGTTGAAAATATCAGATATGAATTTTCAAAAATAGAAACCTGGAAAAGAACAATGATGATGCTAATTCATTTTGTTTTCCAATTAATAAATTAATTAATAAGCGAAAACACACTGTGTTTTTTGGAAAAATTAGACCAGATATACAAAAATCAATTAACCATCATCATCATCATTATCGTCGTAGTTGATGTTTTTTTCAGGGGCAAGATCATCATAACAAAGAATTAACCGCGTTCACCATTGTCTAGCTAGCCCTGACCATCACCACCATTATTCAAATGGAAATTCTGTGTGCGTTAGATTTTAATTAAACGAATTGAATTACCATATTGAAAACTGAAGAAAAACTAAAACAAAAAAGCCTTATGGATTAATTAAGCTAATAAAAAACAAAAATTTTTTCCCGAAAAAAAAACATCATTATATTGTCAACCATAAATGTGTTTTGAAAATTCTTTGCACATTAAAAAAATTCAAAAAAAAAACATTAAAATTTTTCAAAGTTGAAAAAAACTCATCAAAAAGTGGGAAAATTCTTTCTCGCTCTCGCTCTCAAAATTCAATCAATCACTTTTTCTGGAAAAAAATTCAAAACTTTTTTGTTTTAAGTTTTATACGATGGATACACTTCATCATCATCATCATCATTTGCCTTTAGGGTCAAACAAGTTGCAAGTGCGTGATATATCTTTTGGGTAGAATTTTTCTTTGGTTTTTTTTTGACATATTGCTTTGCCACAAACCAATATTGTTGTTGTTTTGGTTGTTACTGGCCTGTCAGTAGCTTGTGGTCAATAACCAAAAAATAAAAAAAAAGTAGGCGTACAAAGCGGTCAATAACATTTTCTGGAATGAATTTGATGGGAACCAAAAAAGAAAAAAAATTTAAAATATTTCAAAAAGGGCAGTGAAAAGCACGTATTTTTCATTTTGGTTTTTGGTTTGGTTTGATGTATGATAAACAACCGTTTTTCATCGTTTTCATCGTTCCCATTTTGTTTATCGAATGCAAAGGCGTTTCGATAAGCGAAAAAACAATCAATTTTATCGAACTAAAATACCATCGAAAAAAACAACAACAAAATCCATCAGAAGCAGCAGCAGCAGTAGCTTATGCTATAGCTACCGATGGGATGAATAAATTGAATGGATCAGATCGGTAAGTTACCACAAAATGATGATGGAATCCACATAGGAATGATAATGATAATATTCAAAGCCTTGAGGCTTCTTCCCACGCATTTAAATTTGTGAAAAATGTTTAAAATCCGTGTTTTTCTTTCACTCTTGGCAATCTACATAAGATCTCCACCTACAAACCACCACTAATAATAATGATGATCAGATAATAATCATATTGACAGTTGATTTTTTTTTTTGCCACTGGTATCCACCATTATTTTCTCATATGGAAAAAATCGAATGCAAAAAAAGATTCACAACAAAAGAATGACACTTACCTCTTTGTTTTTGAAATTTTTAAAGTTTATAATGCTTGTTGTGCAGCAGCTCTTGATGTTTTTGTTGTTGTTGTTGTTTTATTTGTATCATTTTTTCCTTCTGTTGTTGTTGTTGTTGGTGATGATCGATTATTATCATTGACTAGATTAGCTTTGTTTGTAGCATCATATGAATGTCCAATCATCATCATTGTATTATCATTATTTGTTGTTGTCGCTGATGAACCATATGGTTGAAATAATGAATGTTGATGATGATGATGTCCATGATGATGATGGTAAGCAGCTTGACTTTGATGATGATGATTTAGTAATGAATCCATTGGAAATGTTGATGCTAAATTTGGATGACGTGGATCATGTGGATGATGCGGATATTGGTGATGATGATGATGTTGAACAGTAGCTGTATCTGGAAATTCTTCAGAATTTGTTGTTGCTGTTGCTGCTGCTGCAGCAGCGGCTGCAGCTGCCGCAGCCGTTGCATAACCAGGCCAAAATTGATGAAATGATTGAAAACGTTGAAATGATGAATGAAATGTTGTTTCATCTTGATGCGGTGGATTTTGTAATGATTTTTGTTCAGTATGTAATGGCCAATGATTATTTTTCTGATGTTGTTGATGATGATATGAATGATACATTGGTTCAAAATTCATTGATGAATTTTGAAAATTATTTGATGATGTTGTTGCTGTCGTTGTTGTTGTAGTTGAAAATGGTGATAATTTTTCATGATTAAACATCATACTTGGTGGTGATTGTGATGTCATACTACCATAATCTGATGTTGTTGATGTTATTGATTCGGGTGAACGTACTTTATCTAAATCTCTTCGATCATTATTATTAATATTTGTAACCGTTTTATTTGATGCAGTGGATGCTATGAATGCATGAGTGGAGACCATTGGAATTTCGGTTACTAAATTTGTGGATGATGTTTGAAAATTACTTCGTTGATGATGTTGATGTTGATGATTTTGATGAGGAATATCGGTGGTCATACCAGTTTTATGATCTAAAAAATTAAAAGATTTTGTATTCGTGGTTGTTGATGCGGAATGTGTTGGATAATGATTTGGATGTGTATGATAATGTGACATCATTTGTGGATGACCCGATGATGATGATGATGATGATGTTCCGTAAGCAGTACTAGAACTATAATAAGATGGTGGTGATGTTATCATTGAGAGATCTGTAGTATTTAGAGTTTGTGTTTGATGCGCTCCAAACATTGAACCATTACTGGAACGATTCGAATGCGGATGATGATAATATGAAGATTGATTGGTATTCCGGTATGGTTCATATGTCGATGTCGATGTTGTCAATTGATCATTTAGATTTGTAAATGTAATTGTATTTGCTGTAGTTGTTGTCGCTGTTGTAGCTGCTGTTGCTGCTACTGATTGATTTTTTTTACTTTTTGTTCGCTTATTCGGATTCTGTTGTGCTGTTGGATCAGTATTATTTTGACGATTACGTTTTGTTTGTCGTGTTTTTGTTGTTGTTATTATCGGTGGTGTTTGTGGTTGTTCTTCTTGTTTAATCTGACCAATAATACGATGATGTTCAATAGCAGCAGTTGCTGGTGGTGTATTTGATAAATGATTTTGATTTTGATTATGATTAGTATTGGTTTGATTTATATTAATAGCCTGATATGGTAATGTTCCTGCTTGTGGTGAATATTGTTGTTGTTGTTGTTGTACCATTGATGATGATAATGAATATTCATTACCATGTCCACCGCCATAGTTATTATCATTATAATGGCCATTAGTTGTATTGGAATTTGTCTGTATTGACATTCCATGTGAATATGATGATCCAGTTGAATAATCATTCGAATGAATTGGATGAACAACTAAATTTGGTGTTGCATCATCATTTGTTGTTGTTGTTGTTGTTGGAGTTTTTGTTGTTGTTGTTGATTGTTGTAAATGATGATCATTATTATAATTAGTATTATTAGTGGATGTTGTTGAATGATTACTTGGTGTTGGTGATGAAGGAACAACGCTTGCAATTGAAGCTGTGGATGTGGTGGATGATGAATTTTGCATATAATGCATTTTTGAATGTAATGAATAAAATTGATATAACCATTGATTTGATTGCATTACAGTGGCTTCTTTTTCACTAATTTTCAGAAATTAAAAATTGATTTGAAAATTTTATAATTTTTTTTTTGTTTTCAAAAATTTCGATAATTTTTCATTGGAAAATAAAGATTTAAAGAACAAATTTTTACCTCAAAACTTGATTTGTACAAACAATAACTGGTTGTTGACCATTTTCATTATTATCTTTAACCTGTAAAACAACATGTACCCAAATCCATTGCATTGAATTTGTTTGTAGCCGTAACAATAATATACATGATTTTTCCTGTTCCGATTGTATTACTGTTGTTGTTTGATTGAGAAAAAAATGAAAAAAAACAAAAAAATTTAAAAAAAAATTTTCAATATTTTTCAAAATTTTCACATACTTAGCCTATGTTTTGATTGTGCTTCTTTAAGATTATCCCAATGCACCAGATCATACCATGATAGATTTTTCAAACGATTTTTTCGATAACCAAGATGAAATTCACCACTGCAAAAAAAAACGAGAAAAAATAAAAAATTTGAAAAAATTTTCCCATAAGATTTTTTCTCAAAAAATTCAAATTTTCAAAAAAATATTTCAAAACACAAATATCATTGCTATTGTTATTATTATTATGGTGCCAGAATGACGTCAAATGACGACAATAATATTGATTTTTTGATTTTCGTTTGATTTGTATGTTTATCTGCTTGTCTATCATTATTTATTGATTTGTTGTTGGGTCACACAAACAAACATATATATCCTTGATGTTGTCATTAGATACATCGCTACAGAGAGAGGACCACATAGGTAAATTATATACCAAACAAACGAACAAACAAAAATTGGGACAAGTGTGTGTGGACAAAACGGAATTACCCGGTACTTCTATTTCGACAGTAAAAACTATCATCATCAACAACATTACCACACCATTATCATCATCATCATCATAATCATTGATTCAAAATGAAAGAAATTCCTATAGCAAAATTTCAGTTTTTCATTTTGGCCATGACGGTAGCATACGCCGTCAAGTGTCAATCATCATTACATTATGATCAAAATATATAACCAACCGAAATCAATGTAAGGGGAGATAATAATAATAATAAATATCAAAAACCAGGAATAACCATAATAATAATAATGGAAATGAAAAAAAACATACAAAATGATTAGATTAGACCTTGTTTTGTAATGTAGACAACAACAACAACAACAAAATGATGACGATGATGGTCCTATGCTGTAATCATTGGTGTCTGTTATTTGTTCAATTGATCAAACAACAACAACAACCCGAATCGAGTATATGTTCAACATGTGTATCATTACAAAATGTATTTTTTTGTGTATTCGAAACCGAACTGAACAACAAGGAAATAGATCAAAAGAATATATACGTATTTTCTACAGGTAAATCTAATCGTCTGTGACATCGATTGTTGTCAATAATGATGATGATGATTATCATTGTGATACATGCCATAATCATCATCATAATGATGATAATTCAGATAATGATAATACACCTTACCGTGTACACACATGTTTTTTTTAATGTGCGTGGGAGCCAAATTCTGAATTTGTTTCAGAATGATCATCAATGCAAAAAACAAAAAAGCAAAACAAAAACAAAGCAAAAAAAAACAATGACCATGTTCCCACACCATCTAACAAAAAAAAACTTTGAAAATTTTTTTAAATCCTGGACATTGTTTTCTATGATGTCCATTTTGTTAATGTTTTTTGTTTTCGGCAGTGTTTTGTTCAATGTTTTGTTTCATGAGAAAAATAAAAAATTTGGATCAAACGAGAGAAAAGAAATCTCTCTTTTCTTTATCCGAATCATTATTATCATCATCATCGAATTAGATGATGATATGGTAATAAAATAATAATGATGATGTTGTTTGAATAATGATACGAAATGGTGTCGCGTGTGACATTTTCTCCTGTGAAAAAAAAACAAGGAAAAAAACATCAATGGAAAAATAATGATAACATCATTATTATTCATAGAATTGACATTGATCATTTGTAACATTCGAAAATAGATGTTCATTTTTTTCTATAATTTTTTATTTTATTTTTCTGGTCCGTGTTCTATCCATTATACAATATCAATGATGATATGACACTAACGTTTTGTTCTGTTGTTGTTGTTAAAATAAGATTAGATTCCGTAAAGAAATATAGACAACCAATTTTTTTGAAATCAAAGTCACGATTTGCGTAGGATCAAATCATCAACAACATCAAGCCATCTTTTTTTTTTGGTAAAAAATGAAATCAAACATAACAAGCTCTAATTGTTCTGAGAAGAGAAGAGAAAAAATTAGGAAACCTATGGAATAACAAGAGCAGGGTAATATAGCAGATGTTTATCATTCAGATGATGATCATCATCATAGTCAAAATGAAGAAATGATAATGATGATGATTACACAATATTGAGAGAATTTTCTTTCTTTTTTTGATCCAGAATTTGTGATGATGAACAACAAACAGCATCTGTTGATCCATATTGACCTTCATAAGATATATTTTGTTGTATAATATGATGGTGGCTATATTTATGGTTTTTTTCGAAGATATTGATCGTGTATGCGAAAAGCATGAATTCACCCTCAGGCAATAGAAAAAAATTAACCAAAATTAACATCGTGATGAAATGATTCAACCAGAAAAACAATCGATCACCGATAATATCGATATGTGCTTTGTTTCAGGAATAACAGCAAAAAAGTAATGAACCCACAATATGTGTGTGTGTGTGTGTGAAAGAAATTATTCTCGAAATGAATCGTGATCTAGATTTTCTTGTTTTTTTTTTTTTGATTCACACATTTAGGTTTTTTTGGTTTTTTGAAAATTTTTAATCGTCATTACAAAAACATTGGTCACGAATTTTGTTCATTTGACTGCGATCAATTAAAGTAATTAGATTAATTTTGATTTGTTTTGAAAACAAAATTTACGAATAAGGATACGGATTTGAGGATGATCGTGCAATATTGATTGAAATTGTTATGTGAGAAAAAATTCGAGCAAAAAAACTTACTTTGAATCCAAATGAATAAATTTCATATCCATCGAATGAATTGATGTAAAAACATTTGTACTACCTTGTACAACACATTCACGTGTTTCAGGCATTGCAACTGGTGTACAAGTAGCTAAGAATACTGGTTCATTACGGCTACATAATGGTAAATAGCTAACAAAATGTCCTTGGACTAGTACAACCTATTTGAGAAATTTTTTTGTTTAAAAAAATGTTCCAGGAAACTTTCCGATCAAATGTAAACAAACCTTTTGATCACCGAAACGCATTTGTCTACGTGAATTTCTTGATACATTCATACGGCATAAAAATATACGGCTATCCGATATTGGTGATGATTGATTTGTTGATGATTGATTCGTTGATGATGACGATGATGATAATGCTGATGTTGATGATGACGATGGTGAACGCATCAATTCATTCTGTATAGTTTGATGATCTTGTTTTTCAATTATATCATATACACTATCACCATGTATAAGTAAATCTTCCTGTTTATTTAATTTACCACAAAGAAAAAAGGCAAAAAAATCGATAAATAAATAATGAAATAATGAATTTTATTAGTCCATTTGTTGTTTGTTTGTTTGTTTTAATAGAGCCACACACACACAGGGGTTATAATTTAGTTTTTGGCAAAACAGAAAAATCAATCAACAAATCAACGGTTTGTTTTCAGTTTACCGACAAACATTCGTCACTAATCAGTCCAATTCGGTCAACCAAGTCAGTCATTTAGTCAATCAACAACACAAACCGCAGATCGATCGATTTTTTTCCTTCGACTAATTACGTATTACGACAGAAGCGAAAGAAAAAAATTATAATTTCCGATTTTTACCGGCAAACCAAGCGAAAAAAAAAACTAACTTCACTGTGTAAGTTCTGTGTGTGTGTGTGTTTTCAGTATGTCATTACGCCTTTCGGTTGATAATGATAATGATGATGATTACAAGCAACAATAAACTATGTCATTATAAAATGAAATGAAATGTGTCGCCACCATTATCATCATCAGTTTTTTTCTGCGGCTACTACTACTACTACTTTTTTTTCAATGAAATTATTATTACTACTTTGCCTATATTATATGGTAATTTTTTTTGTTTCCAAAACATTTTGTCGGCGTTATTATCATCTGAACATGATGATAATGATGATAATAAGTGATAATGTAATGTATAAGTGAAATGATAATCATCATCATAGAACACATAAGATTTGATAATATGTCTGTGTGTTAGCGTTACCGCTGCTGCTGTAACTTTTTTATAATCATAGTCTGAACCACCTGTTGGAAATCAATCGATCGATGATTTCAATTTCGTGATTTCGTGCCGAAAAAAATTGAGATTTTTGGAGCATTTCATTTGATTTCTTCTTCTCCTCAGACATATAGAGAAGAAGAAAAAGACAATGACATTTGTTTTGTTTGGGCTGGCTACCTTTTTTTTTTGTTTTGTTTGTCTCAACAAAGAATCAATGTAGTCACAATGTCAATGTCAATGTCATTTTTGTTTTGTTTATCACACATCTGTTGTATGAAAAAAAAGATTATTGTCCGGTCACGATCCCAGAACAAAAATGATCATTTTTTTCACGTTTATCCAAAAAAAAAATTTCGGTAGCCAAATTCTATATGATAAAAAAACGCACGTGGTCATCATGCGACAAAATAGACAGAAGTGATAATTAAAAAGTCATCAGTTATATTGAAACCATTGAGAAACACGTGTGTACGCGTAATGATCCAAACGAGAAAAACAAACTCGAAAAATTCATTCTTAATTGAATTATGATTATATGGCATTTTTTTTTGTATGTTCGAAAATTTTACTTTTCAGAAACTTTTCGATATAAAAAAACAAGCCATCCGGACTTGATCGAATGTCAAGATCAATTGATTGGCGATCAGCTTCAAATCAAAAAGAAAAAAAAGAAGTTCACATCGATGAGATAATCGTTGTCGAGGATCAATCATTAAACAACCAACCAAAATATATTCACCTTGATCATAATCATAATTTTTATTTTCTTCCTAGATCATCATCATCATCACAGGTAAAAATGTTGAAATATTAAACCTGAAGAAATTTTCCCTATGTATGTATTTAGCCAGAGATAGATAGCAGAACTCTTCGGTTACCATTCTATGGATTATTCCCAATTGACCACTATTGATTATCATTTACAATCATCTTTAAGGTGCCTGAAGGGCGAAATTAGAAGAAGAAAAAAAATCGATGAATCTTTGGTCGAATCAATCGATGTTGATGATGATGATGATGATGATGATGATGGGACAATAATAATAATAATTTTTATGATGATGATCATCATCATCGACGATAACCATTACCACCATCATCGTTCGTCGCCAATGAATTTTATAAAGATGAATTTTTATTTTTTTTTTTTTCATTATCATCATCATCAATCATTAAAAAAAATGTTTTTGGATTCATTTTTCTTCATATATGATAATAAACATAACAACAAAATCATTATCGATGAATGTCGATGAATCTTTCTTTTTTTCAAAGTTGACCATCGTCATAATAATTGTTCATAATCATTATTCCTGACCTGTTGAATAAATCTTTTCGGATTTTATTTTATTTCTAAATTTCTGAATTTCTGAAAAATTGCTTTGGTTGCTTCGTTTTGGTTGCTTCGTTTTGGTTTTTCAAGTAATTAGAACATTTATATCGATCGATTAATCGTTGTCGTTTGTTGTTGTTGAGAATCATAATTCAAAACAAATATTGAAAAAACAACAACAACAACTGTATATGATCAGTGAGAAAAATCATACAAAAAATTATCAGTTGTAAATCATTAGTTTAACATAACTAATCTAGATCAGGAATGACATGATAATCATCATATCTACATAGATGTATTCAAGGGCATCCAGAAAAACTCATAAAAATCAATGATGAATGAATGATAAAAACCAGATGTGCATATTCATCGATTGATTGATTGATTTACAAGTTTAAAAAAGGGTCAACCAAGTTTTCATCATCATCAGGATTACACACATAGAGAATTATAGAGACATTTTTTTGAAAAAGAAACAAATTAACAAACAACAACAATAATTATCATTGGCCTAAATATTAGATTCAGAAAGAATATTTCCAAGAGAAAAAAAACTGTAACAAAAAAACATTAATCACATTACAAACAACAACAGCAAATAATTATCATATTAAACAACAACAACAACAAATTGTTATTGTTAACCCTCTTTGTTTAATTTGTTTACAGCACAAGTTGTTTAAAAATATAAGTGACCAATTAGCGTTGTTGAAAAAACAAAACAAAAGAGTGAAAACAAAAACATGCTAATTATATTTAATTTGTTTCAACAACAACGAAAACAACAAAAAAATTTGATTTTGCTATTTTCAAGTTACATGTCTTAAGGTATTGTGTATTGTAACATTGAATGATGAAAATCAATAAATCATCTTAGCAAACCATCATCAAAGAATGAATTTGAAAGAAAAAAATTCCACCAAAAAAAAGTAAAAATCAAAAAATCAACACGAGGCGCGGTTGTTTAAATATTTTCTTCGTTTTGTTTTGCGCTTTGGGAGTTTGTGAATTTTTCATTCGCTTCTTCTTCTTATTCGTCTTAGGCGTCATCAAATACAACGAAAAAATCCAAAGTTTTTTTTTTGGCAAAAAAAAAAAATTCTAATGATATGATTCTATGCAGCAGCAGCTACTGTCATTGTTGAGAAAATTTCGGGCTATTTTTTTTATTGTGAAAATTTTCATTCACAAAACAAAGCGAAATTCACAATGCAATTTTCCTGTAAAATCCTTGGATAATCATCATCATCATGAGATCTACATGAAAGTTTTACTTTTTTGCTTTTTGCTTTAAATTCAATTTGTGTTCTCAATTCCCATTCACACACACAACAAACAAATGGAGTAAACAAAAAACACGTAAAAATTCTTCTATTGTTGTTGCTGTTGTTGTTGTTGTTTTTTTAATGATAAGTTTCGGTTGTTGTTGTTGAAAGGTAAAAATCAAAGAACAACAAAAATAAGGTGAGATTTTTTTTCATTTCATACGCCAACGCCTAAGGTCATATGATGATGATGATAAGGTCAAAAATTAAATGTTCCATCATTATTATTAGTCAGAAGCNAAAAAAAAAAAAACAAAAGAGTGAAAACAAAAACATGCTAATTATATTTAATTTGTTCAACAAAAAATTTGAAAAACGATAAAAGTTCAATGTACAGAATTCCATAACACATAACATTGAAAGAAAATCAATAAATCATCTCAGCAAACGTCATCAAAGAATGAATTCGAAAGAAAAAAATTCCATCAAAAAGTAAAAATCAAGAAATCAACACGAGGCGCGGTTGTTTAAATGTATTTTCACCATTTTTTCGTTTTGTTTTGGAGTTTGTGATTTTTTTCATTCTTAGGCGTCATTGATTTTTTTTTCACTAAAAAAATTCTAATGATATAATTCTATGAGTGCAGCATCTGCTACTGTCATTGTTGAGAAAATTTTTAAGTTTTTTCTAGTTGAAATTTCGGGCTGTTTTTTTTATTGTGAAAATTTTTCATTCACAAAACAAAGCCAAAATTCACAATGCAATTTTCTGTAAAATCCTTGGATAATCATCATGATGAGATCTACATGAAAGTTTTTTTCTGCTTTAAATTCAATTTGTGTTCTCAATTCCCATTCACACACACAAACAAACAAATGGAGTAAAAAAAAACACGTAAAAAATTCTTCTATTGTTGTTGTTGTTGTTTTTTAATGATAAGTTTCGGTTGTTGTTGTTGTTGAAAGGTAAAAATCAAAGAACAACAACAAAAATAAGGTGAGATTTTTTTCATTTCATACGCCAACGCCTAAGGTCATATGATGATGATGATAAGGTCAAAAATTAAATGTTCCATCATTATTATTAGTCAGAAGCCAAGGTTTTTAGTAATGGTCCATAGTCAATGAAATTTGTATTTTTTTGGTAGTTTTTTTTCGGGACTAAACGGCGCCGCGTATCTAGCAGCCTTGTTTTTGCTTTATTTCATGGCTACCTTTTAAGAAAAACAACAACCTGTATTAACCTGTTGACTGATGGACATACAATGTCCATTTTGTAATGGTGGACGTCAAAAATACTATGTTTTTTCAATATTGAAAAAACATCGGAAAAAATATAATCGGAAACTGTACACACACACCAGGTATCCGATATTATTGATTTTTTTTGGCTCAAACATTCTTACTTGATCATCATCATCCTTCATTTGATATTTGTTTTTTTCTAAATAATTCATTCATTCACATTTCATTATACAAAACACAATATTCATCTGTCTATCTCGTGACTGTCATATATATATGTTTTGATGATGATGACGAAGATGACTTTATTCATTTCAAATGTAGAAAAACAGCGAAGTAAAGACAGAAAAGTAAAATAAGCCAATAAGCTCTTTACA